GTATTCAATACGTAATTGTTCTCAAGCTCAATTACATATCTAACTACGAGTGTACCGAATACCCGGAAGATCACCAATTTCCTGGTGATTTTCGTACTGCTGAACTATATTAGGTGTTTCAGAAAGTTCTGTCGTTTTCTGACACTCCACTTTTGGATGCTTTATTTCCCTTGAAATCTGGGAAAGCTGCAATTGATGTTGATATCATTTTGAAGAGCTTTTCCAGCTCTATCCAATGCTTAGCTCAACTTTGTCCTAAAATATTTTCTTATAGCTTTTTCAAAGCTTTGAATGCGGTATACTCGATGAGCAAGTTGGCATGACTTTCTTTTTCTAGCTTTAAATAGACCTGAAAGTGGCGGGAACAGTTCAAGATATTAACGATGCACTTGGCCTAGATTCGCAATAAATGTGCTCAGAAGCAGTAGTTCAAAAAGTTATTGTAACGAAAGCGAGAGCCTTGAATATGATGAGAGTAGTGGTCGGATATCGGACGTTGTCCACCGATTAGCCAAAAGTTCTGATTGAAGCACTCGTGCGTAGACCATAGAGGAGGTTCTGCCCAACCTGGGCGTATATGGTTTGTACAGCCAAGCTATACGGAAGAAGCTGGAAAGTCCAAAAAATTTGATAGGGGCGTGCCGCGACAAATCACCAATTTGAAGGGTCGTCCATCAAATTGTCGCTTGTTTTATGTGATAAAAGCGACTCGTTTCTCTACAGATTTGCGACGTACAATAAAGAGCAGGATTCTTCTCTATAGTCCACGAAGGTTTGCTGAATAGATCGACGGCGATGAAGCTCTACAAACTTTGCAGAATTTAAACTGTGCTGGAGGAGGGTTGTGGCAGCTTTCATGGGGTCAGCGGCTGGCCATGTTCTTCAGTATCAGGTGGAACTGTTACAGTGGAGAATCAATCTTTATATTAAGTCAAAAATCATCAAAAACTCTAAGACATGGGTCCAGCATTCCTCATTATAAAGGAACGCACACATCCCTGAAAGGTGTCTTGAACGCACATCGCACGGCCAACCCTTCACAAGTTGTACCAGCTGAACTTCAGAGTGGTTCTGCGAACATCTTACTTAGTAGACCTTTGATCTATCTACTGTCAAATTTCTGACGATCTCGATAGCTTCCTTGAAGAGAAATACATCAAAACCCAACATGATGCTAAAACGACCTTCCCTCAGTTCATCGCCTCCAGAGGTCCAGCATTCCAAACAAACGTACCCAGTTGAACGGCTTCTTATAGAAAAAGATTCGCGCTTTCGAATGGTTTTTTAATCAACTCGAAAGGTTCAGTCTAAGCCGAGATACGTGCATTTAAAATTAGGGGTTGGAAAACGACAGAACTTTCTGAAACACCTAATAAAAGGCGGAAGTGCAGTGGCAATTGGCGCCCCATGCTCATTGTTCAGGTATCCTATCCTGGGCGGGCCGCCGTACAGGCGCCCAAGCTCTCCATCTCGTAAAGGTCGAATACTCGGACAGCTAAGAGAAAAGCTTTCGAATCAATAAAGAAGTAAACGCAGTTCGGCACATGCATTATTTTATGCTAGGTGAACTGTGCATTGCAGAAGGACATGAAGGAAATGGGAAAAGTAGGTAGCCGGTTCTCGGTAAAGTTTACCTGGAAAGCATAATTGAATATGATGAAGTAGAGATAACCCAGTGCAATACCGATCGTCAACGCCACAGCTCCTAGAACATGGGTGTAATCAGGTGTTTCTGCATATTAGAAAACCCTGGAAGTAGAAAACAAGTACCGATAAGCGCTGGTACGGGAATCTCGTGCGGTTCTTCGAGCTTTTCCAACTTCCGGGTTCGAAATAGGAATTCGATTTCGATCACTCCACAACAAACCATTAGCAATGCGATTATCTGTAAAGTGTCAAAGCATTTTAGACCAAGGTACGGATCACGGTTCACTGCAATTTTTGAAGAGCTCGAGATTGACTTTCATCTGACCTTGACTTGCTTGCGGTGGGACCACCAAGTTTGGACATCTATTATGGTTGGAAGTATCTACCATGGTGCTGATTTCAAGGATAATATTGATAATCGACCATGTTGCAAAATGCTCACCAAATGATAGATCCTCAGGTAGAAGATGGTGTCCTCTCGACTCAGCAGTACATAGAGGTTCATAAACAGGCTTAGTTGAAATATTGCATAGAGGAAAACAGTGCAGATGTGGTGAATCTTGAAAAGCCATCGGACGTCACTGGTGTTCGCACTGGCCATTAGAATTACCCAGGGGTTTTCTGAAAGGGAAAGGTTTCTAGATTTAGTGCACCTTGTCCATGAAGTGTCACAAATGATGACAACCGTGATCGTAAGGCAAAAAACTCTAGACGTAAACGCTCGCTACGCGGACAGAGAGGAGAATCGCTCTCAGAAGAATTGCTAAGGTGAGTTGCAGTGGAATCCAACTGAAACAAAAGCGCAGGAAGCCAATATCTATTTTTCAGAGCAAAAAAACATTAGAATGGCAAAAATGTTGAATTTAAGAAGGACTACTTCTTAGATTCTTTGAAAATCGATGCTTGAAATGCTGAGGTTTGTGTTACATTTCAGTGAGGAACCATACAGTTCAATAGTTCTTGTAATTATTTTGAAGATAAAAAAGAACGCGGTGGGGAAATCCATGCACTGAGACTAATGAATAACCACGTACATATAGGTGCAGGGTAAAAAACACTTGTCCTTCACATTTGCAACTAAATTATATCCACACAGATCAACTTCAATCGGATGCTTTCAAATAAATATCGAAAAGCACATCCGAAGCTT